ATACTCAAATATCGTCCGAAGCTGGGATGCCCCGAGAAAGGCTTTCTTTCTTTCTTTTTCATATATATATATATATAAAATAAGAACATCGCACTATCGTGCCACGTGCTCCCCGCGCCCCATCCCTATTTCCAACCTATGTTCAACGAACCGCGATATCAACATTCCACTTCTTGTTTTACATTTAAAATTCACGAATTTCGATCCGCTGTCGTGCTTCGATCGTTCGCCAACACCGATCCACGGGCTCCTCGTACATTCCTCACTGAAACCGAGACGGTCTCGTCTCGACGTTAACGAGGCCGAGGACAATCTAATACGATCACCGAAAAATCTCGACACAGCCAAACGAGAAACGGAAACTTTTGGTCCTTCGAGTTCGAATGAGATTAACGTCGATGCACTGGTCGACATTCCGTGACATGCTCCGCGATTTCGAGCTGTTCCAACGCCATAGAGGCCACGGAGAGCACGGCGCAGCGGTCTAGCTTTCTTTATCCTCCTTCGAAATTGTATTTGGTGATACGTATCTGAATACTGACTTCGTGTGATGCAGCGTTTACATATAATACAATTAGTATCCATTACGTATAGGGTGTACATGCGTGTATGTGTGATCGATTTCCTTTCCATCTTTATCTTTCTTTGCCTTTTTCCCTTTTCCTTTCTCCCTTTCCTTTTCCGTTCTCACGTTCCTTGGCTTCTTTTTCTTTCTTCCTGTCTCTGGTTTCGCGTTCAAACGTATATTACATAGATTCCTTTACCGTGCAAAGCGTTGGCCGGCAGTCACTCGGACAACAGTTTCTGTAACAGTGACGACTGGTTCACCTTCGGATCACCTCGAGCCACTTCCTCCATAGAAGTCTGCAAAATGAAATCCGTCTGATTAGTCTACGTGTCTTGCTTCCTATTCGCTATTGTGATAACAGATTGAAGATAGCGGCAACCAGTTTTTTTCTTTTTTTTTTTTTTCTTTTTTTTTCTTCTTTCTTTGTCATTTTTAAGATTGCTGATTAATTCAGAATGTAGAGAAAATTGGACAGAGTACTGTGTGACGAGAATTATGAGGATGATGATGTACTGAATTGCGTGAGTCATGTATTCTTATTGCATAATGCAAGCTTGTTGCGCATGTGCTACATGGTAAGATGTAGGATGTAAAATAGTTATTCCACTTTGCGCTTGCAAGAAGTTTGACTTTAGGATGTTACGTGCGTTGCATAATGGAGTCTTTTGGACCTGAATGTTTCGCGCGAAAGTATAATAAAGTGAAGGATACTTCGTGTACGTATAAAGGTAAAATTTCGAATAGATCGTCTCGCGTGAAACGGAGGAAAGTAAGTGTATAGTAAGTCAACTTGCTAAGAGATTCGTGTCAATTTTACAACACCATTCCGGGTGTATCGTGAAACTTGAATTATTGTAAATTATTACAGAGTTAAATCGTTAACCGGCAACTGATCAATTCGCGTAGTATCGACGACAGGTAAGTAGTCTGTCCAAAAGCACCTACATTCTGAGTATCTATTAAAACCCGAGATCGTGACACTACGTATTCAAAACTAATGCGTTTCTGTTTAGTATTCGCGAGTACTCAAAAATTTTGCGACCCACTCAAATCGAAAACTTAGTGTAATATTATTAAAACAATTTTTCATACAAACGTCAAACATATTCACTTATTTTTAACTCTGGAATCGAATATCATAGTAATATTGGCAGTGAATGTAACGCTATCTCTTCTTCCAAACAATATTCAATTTACTCTCGACAAGGAACCGAGTACGGTGTCTCAAACTTTTTGAGTACTCCTTTTCTTCTAAAAAGCACAAGATAAACGAAAAAACAAAAAAAAAATCTCGTCTAGTTCTCGACGTGAAATCGATCGATATCGGTCTGGTAGAATGCTCCTGCGGAGGCAAACGCAAAGTCAAAACTCAAAAAGAAAACTGTACTGAAGCCACATATGTTCGCTATACATCCAAAGTTCCAATGCACACCAAAGGCCGCTAGTCTAATGACGTTAAAAAAAAAATTGAAAAAATAAAATAAAATAAAATAAAAAAAGAAAAATAAACGAAGAAGAGAAAGAAAGATTTGTTTTGGCTGTTCGCGAATCGACGATACTCGAAGAGAAGAGGCCACAAACGAGGAAAGAAACGGAGCTATTTTATTTCTGTCTTACTTTCTGTCTTCTCTTTCTTTTTCTATAGAAAAGCAGTTACTTTACGAAACGTTAAAAAAGCTACACTGAACTTATCGCGAATCGTCGAAGAATTGCTAGTTTCGATCTTTCGACTAATATACAAATAAAACCAACAGGCTTCTGCGGACCCAGTACTCGATTAATTAACCAATCTTCGATAACAAAAATGATTAAACCGATTATTTGAATCAATCGTTGGCCGTTAAACCGTATCAACGCGTTCAACTGACAGTAGAGATCAGTCATGAAAATCTACTCGTGATTTATCTTAATTTCATCGTGATAATTTAAGGTAAAATAGCCGAGAACCTCTAGAAAAGAAATATTGCATCTACAACAGCGATAATGATGTTAAAAAATTTAGTTGACATTTATTTCAATATTTTATTCGAAAATTCAATGCCCGTTTCTCTTTATTTACATAATTTTATCATATTCGACATGAACGCGTAGCAAATACCAATTTCTAGAATACACAAAGGAAATAATAATTTCTCGTTATATTTCTCTGTTGATATTTCGCTAAATAAGATAATTAAAATTGAAATAACTCGAACCGATCGTCGCACGGATCGGAAAAATTCGGCTAAAATTACTATCGCGTTGAACGCGTTAATTTAACACGCGATTAAAATTGCTATTATCCGAGCGAAAATTACAGGCAGCTACTTCGCATTGCATTAAAGAAGGTAAGTTGGAATTTAATTAATAGAATGAATATTCGCGACTGGCCTTCGGAGGCTTCTGCGTTCTCTTTGACTCACTTCCGGTCTCGTCGGCGTGAAACTTAAAACGCGACGATAGTTGCGCCTCATGCAACGAGAGCAATCAGCATACGAGAGAGAAATAGTAATAAGGAGCTACGCGCTTAGATGTCCATTTGGCTCGCTGTGAAAAAGCATTACAATACTAAATGTACGTTACACGATACAACAATGGCAGTGTGATTAATATTGATTACTTCGAATGAGCTGAAGCTTACGGCACCATCACCCTGTAGAATAAAGAGGAAACAACGTGTCTCCGCACCGATCGTATTTGCGCTTAGGAACATCGACCAACAAACTAGACGTTCCCTTTCTCGTATAACACAGCAGCGTTTGAAGAAATAAAAAAAAAAGAATAGAAATGTCAGATCGGGTATATAAACATCTTCAACCCGTATCGTCTTGTTACCTGAATACTATCTTTTTTCCTAAGAAGAGAAGAAAAGAAGAGAAATATTTTCCGACGTTTCTTTCAGAAAAGTATCAAAGCTTTAACTCTTTCCCTGGACTCGTAATGACAAAAATTTCAAGTTACGAGAATTTCTATTGAATCGATAAAAAGTTGTATTACGAGTAAAAGAAATTTTGCAAAAAGGATCCAAGTACCATTGAAGTTGAATAAAAAAATGTATTTTCCAATTATAATTTTCTTTTTGCTGCGATTTAAAGGTATCGAATGAAGTCGCAAGGAACAATAGCGAAGATGAAAAATTCTTTTTTCAAATATAGCATCGTGTTGGTATTAAATAAATTTTCTAAAGTCATTACGAAGTAGATACTCCTAGCCATAAAATAGATACGTATTAACACGTGTTAATTAATCGTAAAAAAAAAACAAAAATGAAAAGCCTGGAATTAAATAAAATAGTAAATATTGTATCTACACGAGTAAATTTAAAAAATGTAGCTATCCCAGCGTATCTTTTTTAATTTGAAAAAATTATACGAATTTACAAGAGTATCTGAACGGAATATCTGCATAGCTTTGCATTGCATTAGTCTAACACGCGAACAAGAAGTATCTGAATGGTTACTAGCAGTTAATACAATCGAGGAGAATAGACATTAGTTTTATGCATAAGAATGATATGACACTGGATCGTATGAAACGTTAACGAGCGTAATTAAAGACTTTCCAGTAATTTCTCGATACTACTTCTCTCGTTTTGCAACAATGATATTAGTCGTACTGACACAGTTATATAAAGAGGCGAAGGTTGCATTTCCCAGCCTCGCGAATTGCCACTGAGTGTAAAACTTGAAATAAACCGTGTGTCGTGAATCGAGAATTTAAGTAATAAAAAAACCAGTTGAATCTTAGACCGCAATTTTTCTGCGTAATTTCCGGGAACATCGGTATCGTTAAGCTCGATAACCATAATTACCCTGATTAACCAACCCTTTTACAGAGATACTGTTCGAATTTTTTAACTATCGTTCCCTTTACCCAAAAATTAATTATTTCGCCAAGAATTCTAACAAAGTTTGAATAATTCTACTTTTATATTCTTTCCATTCCACGCGACTACGCGTTTAATTCCAATCCAATGAAAGTAGTGAAAAAAATTTTGTTCAAATTGGATCGTAACCGAGGTATATTCGGGAAAGAGATACGTATAGAAAGAAATACGAAATACCAATTTTACTCCGATACTTGCACTCCAAATAACTCATGCCTCGACTACGATTGCGTCTCTAAACGCAACGGCAACGAGAAACGAAAAGGGAAAGTAGAGAAATAAAAAAAAAAAAAAAATACAAAAAAAGAATATATAAAAATAAACACCGTAGAGAAGGAAAGTTATGAACCGCGGCTGATCGCGTTCTGGCTAGACAAACAAGCTAACTCGGTGTTATCCTTTGTACGACCACGCAGCTGTCAATCGTACAAAGTCAATATAACCGTGTATATCCGTGAACATCAGAGGACAGATGGTCTCTCTCTGGCCGTGGAAAGTCAAAATACCCTTCACTCTCGTTCGGATCGGAGAGGAAGAAACGATGTTAAAAAGGAGAGAAAAAGAAAAGAAAAAAAAAAAAGGTAAAAAAACGACGGAGAAAGAATAAAAGAGATAGAGAGACACAAAGGTGGCCTGAAAAATACCATTTCACGATGCAAAACAGATAGATCTCGACTTAATGTAATACGTAGCCTCGGCGTCAACGATCCAGATATGCACACGTATCCTTACGTCTACTGAACGCACGTACGCACTAGAATTAAATAATTAAATAAACGTAACAACGTTCAAAGTGACGCATGCAAAGAGAGAGAGAGAGAGAGCGCTAAAATACCCCCTACAAGTTTTACGCTCAGTGCGTAGAGAAAAAAAAAAGTACTCATTAAACATGTCGTGCACAATAAGTTCTGAAGCCAAGCGAAGAAGGGAAGACATAGCATACAAAATCAGATGAAAGTAAATTTGTAAAAAAGAAAAAAAATATTGTATATATATATATAAAGAGAGAGATAAATAAATAAGTGTATATGTATATATATGTATATATATAATATGTATACGTAAAAGTAATTGTCGGAAGGGTCTTACCCTGGAGGACGAGGGGGCACTTCCGGCACTCCCAATGGCCCAGCTCTTGGCAGGGCCATCGCTAACCACAGCCTCACCTAGTTAGGACATTGTAACAGTAGGCGTTACCACCAATCTTTCATTAGAGATAATGCGTTTTCTTACAAGAAGCGGACGTATTCGTGTTCGTGTGTAGGGCACACACCTTTCAATCCTGTACATATATGTAGATAGGCACACACATAGCTATACTTGTTCTCACGCACACGAGAGAGATACGGGCTATCGGGATCATCATCGCGTTTCTTCGTCACCACCGTCGATTTTCGCGTAGTCTCAAGGGGCCATTGTGCCCCGATCTGGTAGCCGAATCCGATCGTGAAAAGCCATAGTGCCGTTTTCAAACCGTCGATAAATTCGCGTGTCGGTTGTACACTTACGAGAGCGAGAGACAATGACCATAGAAAAGGCCGAGTGAATTAGCACTGGATCGAATCGAATGCGTTTTCGAATGGTACTTTTCAGCTGGTCGCGATCAGACGGTTCAGCAGAGATTCTCGCGAGCAATGCCAACGAAACGCTGTGCGTTCGTTCCTGCGCGCGAATTTTGCAAAACGGCGGAATTTGAAGGACAATGACGGTAAAATCGACAATAAAGTCGGTAAAATCGGTAATAAAGGCAACAAAATGACACGTGACAACGATTGACAAACGTGAAGCTACGTGGCTCGATACTCTAGACGAAAAAGCAGTTCTATTGGTACCATTTACTGCTGAATCGTGATTCGTCCCTCCAACGACAGATTTTATCTACACGGTTTCCTAGGAATTTACTTCGGCAAGGTCGAGGTTCAGATGATACGAGGATATATATACGTGTATTTAAGTTAGATCGTCTTTTTCACAATATCGAGAACGTGATATCCTTGTGACGAAAAATCTCACGGACTAGCACGAAATTCGTCGCAGTGTAATCAAATGGTACGTATATAAATCAAGCGAGAGTTTATGTCAAATATAATATGCAGGATCCCTGTAATACTTTTTCACAGCTTCCAGCATGTTACATGCGCTATTTACAACGTACAGAAATTGCGATTGAAAATCCGTGAACAATGTGCAGCGGAACGTAAAATTCAACTTCTTCGATTTTGTTAGTAACGAGGAACCAATGAAGATCGTTAAACGACTCGAAAAAAATTCCTCCATGTCGTATCATGATCAGGCGAAATCAGAATATTCGAATTAATCGCGTGTTTTATCAATTAATCGAATTGATCTTCGGAACTTTTGAAAAGCAAGAAAGAAACGAAATCGAAACTAATTTCTTTTCCGTCCCTCTTTCACAAGCTGTTCGACTAACCCTCTCGACTGACACACCACTTTCAAAAGGGAAAACGAATCTCCTCTTTCCACGGACGTACCTGTAGAAGACATTTCGAACGTCAGACCGAGTGCTTCGAGATCGTCCTGAGATACTTGACCAGAAAGGTTGTTTTGAATGTTGTTAGGTACCCTTTGCTGTTGCTGCTGTTGCGTTCGTGCGCCAACGATCGCTCTCAATTCTTGCCTCACGAACTCCGAAGTGCTGCTAGCGTTTCCTGTGACAAAACGAAACGAATTCGTCAGATCTTTTTGACACACGTCACGAACGAGCCACGATCTTCCTTTTCCCTTTATCTTTTCTATTCATATCCTGTCCTTTTATCGTCGTTATTTTTCTCTCTTTAATCGGTAAATCGATGGTAAACGTACCACGAGTGGTTACTTATAGATCGTGTATTATTGTGCAAGCCATAACGTAAAAGTTAGTCAAAGGTAACAGGATGAATGCTTTATTACAAAATGCGGTATTTACAATATTGCGTTGACATAGGTTCGATAAATGACTTATCCTGTAACAAATCGATACCTGCGGCCCATCCGTTCATGGATATTTATCATGACTTTCAAGCACGATGAAGTTCTTGGTGGAAAGAGAGATAGTAAGGAAAATTTAAATTTAAAAAAAAAAAAAATTAGAAATAAAAGTGCTATCAGGAGACGATAATTCCTAGCCTTCGTTCGCTAGAGGAGCACCGTAACGAAAGCTTTTGGCTTCTTTCCGTCTCATTTTTTCTTTCTTTTTTCTTTTTTCTCCGTTTGCTTTCTGTAAGATAACATTTATAAGACAGAGCACCAACAAACATTTAACGTAAATTGTGCTCGACGATGCTTAGTAACATTGCGTTTAGTGACAATGATTAATCACAAAAGCTCGATGCACTGTACATGAGAATGCGTCGTTGTTAGTAATATCTTCTTAGTTTCGTTATTTAAGACATACGACCGGTTCTGAAAACCGTGGACTCACACATTTTTTAATTCTACTGTACGGATGAACGTTGAACGGAAATTGGAGAATGATTAAAGTGATCAAGTGCATTAGTTTTTTTTTTCTAAGTACAATTCGTTTTGCGTGCAATTTAATGGCAAACGAGACTATACTCATCGACATGGTCGATATTTTCCGGTGGTTCACTTAACAATTGTTACGAGTTATTGAAAAAAAAAAAAGAAATAATTTTAAGACTTATCCTATGTATTTGTTCTATCTTCGTAAAAGAAATAAGAATGAGAAATATTGGCGATGCATTCGTATTTATAAAGTACGCATACTCGAACATAACGAAGTAATTTCTATCCTATAATGCTTAAATTTGATTGGAAATTAAGAACAATAAAGACTATTTCGAACCGAGGCAAACAAACGTAAATAACCGTCTGCATTAATCATGCTCCAATTGTAAAATAACGCAACATATAACGGATGCTACAAACACGTAGAAAATAATTCGTACGTATGAATAAAAATTGCAAATGAAACGAAGATTGATGGAAAACATAAACAGAAGGAAAACGAAACAGCGTGATAATAACAAGCATACAAAATTGAACGTAAACAATTGAAAATTATGAGTAATGATTTTCTAAAGTCAATATAAATTACACCGATATATGCGAAATTAATTTACGCGATAATATGCTTCCATAACGATGGAAATGAAATACTTTCACGATTTAGCAAAATCAACTGAAAAATAATAGAGATCTGCTTTCGACTTTTAATCAAAAGTCGCTATTAATTAAATAAAACTTCGTTGAACGTTGAATAAAATCTATAAACGGTAAAAATCAACTATTCAATGAAAGAAGAAAAAAAATGAGGAAACATTTCACATTTTAAACTCTACGAATGACATACTGACTCAGCGACAAGAATGGTGCAAGCAATTCGCTTTTACACGTTATCGTTGGTATCATTTCTAATTTCACTAATACAAGAAATCCAATCTTACGATATGGAGATAGCAGTAAGTATATATTAGTTATAACACAGATTTCATATATGTGGTGCAAGTGATAGTGACGCTAATTTACGTGGTCCGGAAGTGCCGGAGGTAATCACTAAATAGTGCAAGTACGTTCTGAACCGGAAATGGGCAAATCAGCATTCAAAATGCGATTTCCAACAATTGGAAAATTTACATACTAAAGCGCAATGCTTTTATTTGCAAAATAAACTTCTCGATATATTTAAAAATAATGATTTAAACCAATGCTATTAACGTACGACTGATTTATATGACGAAAATTAAACACTAGTTTGCAATATTAATAACAATATTATATTAATATTGTTATTTATTAATACAATACAATAATACAATTAATACAATATTAACCCTTTGCACTCGAAAGGTGAGCTTCAGTCACGATTTCATAAAATTTGGAAGATCGATATTAATTAATATATCAAATTTAATGCAATGTAACAGTGTGCGAGGTATCGAAATCAAATAATTCTACAATTCTATTATCATACAATTCTTTATTTACTGCTCAAAAAAGTATCGTCAGCTTTTTAGTAGAGAATCTTTGAATTTCTACTCTTCTCTAGCCAAAAGTCATCAAGTGCAAAGGGTTAATACTTGTATCATAAATTTAGAAATCATTCGTCCATAGCTTCTATTATTAATATAATGAAAAATCAAATTAAAATCACTGCTTTCGTTACTCGCTATATTTTTCCTATCGATATTGTCGCTGTTCTATTTTTCCTAAGGGCCATCTTTTAAATAGCTCTACAGCGTTATAATGAATTTTATAAAATAACTTGTATACGATTTGCCCGCTTCCGTTTCCGGTCCACCTTAAACAGTACGGTGATTTTAACGCATACGAGTCACAAGAGAGGTACCTAAAAAGATATGATACAAAGGGCAGTCTTTCCTACGTGACTTATCTACTATGTCATTACATATAAGTACATCAGTGTCTACAATCACCATAGGAAAGTGTAGTCTCTATATCGCTAAAAAAAAAAAAAGGAAGTAGAGTGCACAGTGGAACATCATGTTTGTATCGCTGGAATTAGTGTGAGAAGGGGTGTATCACGTAAATGGGGATGAATATGTACTATGTTACATCACGATTCTTGAAAACACAGATGAATCGATTTGCTCCCAGAGACACGAGGCGTTTTATCACGTTTTTACATAATGTATGTGTTCCAACGAACGAACATTCAACAAAATTCTTGGTATGGAAAGATCCAATTATTTTGCTTCGTTAGGATCACGTGTGGATTTGTTATTCACAAAATGAAAGGATCATCTGATGAGAGTATGAAATTGTTCGCGTCAGTTTACCGTCAAAGACAGCTGTTCCTTTCTTCCTATTAATTACGTTGAAAAAATTCGAATACGTCACTCATATAAATGTTCAATTATTTATTCCTAATTATAAATATTTAAACAGTAAAGGGCACTAAACGTGATTCATTTTTAAGCGAAATAAAGTTTCACTTCCTATAAGCGCAACGTGAATAATTCATAACGCGAATTGTATATATTCCGTTAATAAGACAACAACGATTTAAGCATTTTACTTTCTCGAGAATTTAAATTTCCGAAAATTTACGGAATATAAAAATGATTACAAGAGTAACTGTGTCTATGCGTCATTAAATTGTAAAATAAATAAAACTGGAATAAGCAACGTACGCGTATCTTCGCAACGTAATCGAAGAAACAAGAAGAGGAGAGTGTCAGCAGCGTTCTTCCATTCGCAATTTCATACTACTAATGGTGAATGAAGAATACATTCCACGGGTATGGTTACGTCGATAGCCGGTTCTCAAACTTATGAACAAAAGCACCATGCAACATTTAACGCTATTTCGATATAGGATACGTTACTTTGCGTTGGTCTCTCGTTAGGTATACGATCGTAGGAAAAGAGAAATGAAAGAGAGAATTATGAAGATGATCCGCTAACTACCAGAACCACGAGAAAACAGAAAGCTCGAATTTGAGTAAAACGCGAGGAAATAGTGGAAAAGATGCAAAAGACAATGAGTCGGCTGTTTCTTCGAATGTCACGAGTCACAGGAGTACTATCCAACAACGGTGGTTCAAGCATGATTCTATCGCTTCAATTGCATCTAGCAAGCAGGAATTTTTGCAGGAATGATGTATCCTTGATGAATAGAGTAATGACGGTAACACCGGAATGGGCGAGAATGAGACGTCGCTGAACGAGAGGTGAAGTGGTCCGAATGACGTTAAATGAAACGCAAGGAACTCCACAGTGTCTGATTAGCCACGCAACAAGCACCATTTCCCACATGAGATGTAAAAGAGGAGATTTACAGGGCGTCTATAATGACAGTGGGTACACTGAACGCATGAAAAAACGCTGCAACTTGGATGGTCGTTATATTTACACTTGCTTAGGTAGATACATCGATGGGTGGATGGTGATAGAGAATGATGTGCTTTTCCATGTACCAACAAAAAAAAAAAAAAAGAAGGAAAACAGAATGTCTCATGCCGTTGTAGCCGATTTCGTGACACGAGGTACTTTAGATACAAAGAAGGGCATATACGGAAGGGGGTGTGATGATGACGAAGTGATGGTCACATGACATTAAGTGGTCACATGACTTACCACCCAATTGGTGATTGACAGGATTACCGGGAGGCAAAGGCCTGGCGTCCTGCGTGTCCCCAGGCCCTGACGAATAGAGTGGAACAGACGTCCGATCGTAACAGAACTGATTGTTCTGCATGTCAGCTGTGTTGATAGTATTGGCGGTCGTGTGGTATATCATAGAAGAATGTTGTTGGTTGGAGAAGTGTTGTTGGGTATTCGTTACGTTGTGTTGATTGTGAGTCGGTGTTGCCGGGTTGCAACCCGAATGTGGATGACTAGGTGAAAGAAGAGGTTGTTCCTTACTCACTCCGCCGTAGTGCCGGGGCGAACCTACCCCACCTGCAACATCAAGCTTGTCTATCTCCTTGTTCCTCGCATCTGATAGTAAAAACGTTTATAACGCTTCTAGTCAGCTTTCCTCCATGCTCCGCTTCGAGATTAGAATTTTTTAGTTTTATTACGGTATAGCTTTGGTAAAGTTGTTGGTGTTCTTTTTGTTTTATTATAAATTATTTGTTAAAAGCCGATACGGATATTAAGTGCATATTACAGTGGATGATTTAAAAATTGCTCACGCTATTTTTCCTCCCTTTTCAATTGTTCTTTATATCATTTTAAACGGGATTTAAAATTGCAAGAATATTACGAATTAATAGCGACATTTTAGTTTTAAAACGGGGTTGAATTTACGATACTTCTATTTTAAATTTATTCCAAGATTAATGGAAAATAACGTTGAATTAATATGAAGAGTTTTTTGTTTTTAAGGCTTGTAGCATAAAATTTAGTTTGAACAACTGCTATCAAGTAAACATGACAAAAAATACTGACGTGAAAAATTAATAAAAACATCTATACGCATATCTATCTAATCTAAACGTACTTGTTCTGTTTCAGAATATTGCATACAACAGAGAAACACATATTTGAAACAGTGGTATACTTACCTACGTGGACAGAAAATATTTATTTAAATCACACCTTCCGTTCCATATGCGCATTATTGTGTTACTTATATGAATACTTAAAATTAATCACACTAATGTAGAGTACCGATTATTCATAACGACACCGACACGATAAACGAAATCACAACGCGATCACCGTCTTTGAATTCTTGAACGCTTTGCACTAGATACGGGTGAAGTTAATATTTATAATTACACAAATACCTTACACATTAAAAATCATCTACGAACTCTCTCTCCCTCTCTCTCTCGCTTTCTTTAAACGTTCAATTCGCAAATACTAATAACACAATTTTACATATTACGATCACATCAAAAGGTATCACAACCTGTACAATCGAAGATACACGATTTAAACGTAATAAATGCACAACTGCAGGATTAGTAGCAGCGACCGAAAAAATAGTCTCAATGTATATATCCGTAATATGCAGAGCTGTACCGAGGATAAAAAGGAATTTCGAGCAGAATATCAACCTACCTGGCAACTGAGTCGTAGCTGAAGGTGTAGACGTGGTCCGTTGCAACCGATATTGGGCTGAAGGATTTGGTGCACCAGGATTAGGACCAGGTGGAAATTGGCTAGCTGTAGGAGACGTAGGTGGGGGAAAGGTTTCCGCCGGAAACGGAGATTGCCGAGCAGATGCTGGTGTCCCTGGCGACGGCATCGATCTTTGTTGTTGCTGCAACTGCTGCTGAGCGGTAGGCTGTTGTTGCGATCTCACCTGGTTAACGGCGAATAACCTCGGGGTATTACCATAGTTGCCCTTAATCACAAAACGTAAAAGGAAAATTAAATACTGAAGTTGTTAAATCGTAAACAAAAACGAAAGCTATGTAAACGTGGCTACAAGTAAGCAATGGAAATTATTCTAAGAAGCCACGCGTGCACCCCTTTCGATTAAATAAAAATAAAACTTAAAAATACAAATGAAACTACGCGTCAAGCATTTAGGACGCCTTCTCTAATTAAACGACTCGTGAAACGTACTTGCGTCACTCGTGGTGACAGCGGCTGCGGATGTGAGAATGACAAAATACCAGCGGGAGAATGCGGCGAGAGTCGTGCAGCCGCAGACACTTGTTGACCACTGTTAAAATTACTGTTTACGATAGGGCTGGAAACAAAAACGATGGTTAAATAATCGTGAAATAATTATTAATTCGATTTATCTCGAGGTTGCTCACTGTTGTGGTAACGTTGAAGGATGAGAGTACGAATGAGCAAGTCGGTGACCGGAAGGCATCTGGACGGATCCCCCATAACCTGGAGACACTTGTGAATCTGGGACACTCGACCGCTGAGAACAATAATGATTTATGCAAATCTCTCCTTTGTATTTCAATATGATAATTCGATCTAATTTTATGATTACCTGCAACGATACATTTGGCGCAACAGTATTGTTTAGAAGATTATCGATATTGTGAATGCCGGTGGTAATTTGGTCCGTAGCTGTAGCATTGGAAGGAATGAGTAATTGCTGCTGCTGCTGTTGCTGCAACAACCTCTGCTTCAATTGTTGCTGCTGCTGCTGCTGTATCAGTTTCGTTCGCTGTTGCTGCAACTGTAATTGTTGCTGCTGCGTGAATTGAGCGGTCGTCTGCCTGACGCCTGGTTGCGTGTTAAACCTCATCCTTGGCTGTTGCTGATACATCGGTGGTGGTTGGTAACTATGACTCGTCGTTACAGGTGTGGTACCCAACTAAAGAATTATATCGTTCGTAAATATTAATTATAACGAGCACGTATGACGTTGTAACAAGTACAAGAGGCAAATAATACCGATGATGCTACTGCTAAGAGTATATGCGTATTTAGACGTACATTATGATTACTGCAGGCGCATTATAAAAATATGCACGAAAAGGGTATCAACTTACTGCGGTGGAGTAAGCTGGAGGCGTGCCAGGAATTGTTATGGTGGAAGACGTTGGATTTACGGCAGTCTCGCATAACATCAACGACTTCTGTATCGCGTTAATCGCCATTTTCTCGTTCAGCGCGTTGTCCTGCGGCGTTTCGATTACATCTAGGAGATTTGCTATCGCAGACGAATCTATTGAATAAAAATTATTGTCTATAATGATAATTACTTTCGCTGTCACGCGTAACAGGTTGCACAAATACTTCTCGCGAGTGTGTTAGCTTATTGCTGGCGAGTATATCTCTAAACGTAGCATCGTTAAAGAAAGCAAAATCACAAGGTTTACAATTATGCCGTGACAGCGAAGGTATAAAGTTATATATTTAAGATACATAAGTATACAGGAGTGAAAGACGAGTATACATTAGGTACGGTTCGTGCGTTTAGTAACGGTGATAATTAATTGCATACCTGTAATAGCTTCATCCGGTACGATCTCGATAACTTGATCTAAAATATCGGAAAGATCAGGGTCTGATGACTGGTTATTCCAACTACTAGGATCGGTGCTCCTTTGACGATACTCCCCGCTGCCCGCAAATTCCGAATCCATTTGACCCATTTGAGGTCTTTGTTGCTGCAAACACGTATAACAGATCTCAGGATCATTCATTCGACTCTGTACGACTCTTACTTTTTACTTTCTAAAAACTTGACAATACATCGGATTATTCTCGTTGCTTAATCATTGCGCAACATAATAAATCGACTATTACCTGACTTAGCATATGAGTGAGGTAGGTATTGGTTGTTTGACGAGGTAGTTGTCTCGACTGGCTTTGGAGAGGAGTTCGTGTGGTAGTAGCGGTTGTCGTAATCGTGTTATTGCCACCAACCGACTGCATGCTGCCACCTGTCCAAGGTTGCTGCTGCTGCTGTTGTTGCTGCTGCTGCTGTTGCTGCTGTTGTTGTTGTTGCTGCTGCTGTTGTTGTTGCTGCTGCGGTTGTGGCTGGGACTGTGACTGTGATTGCTGCTGCGGCTGTTGCGATTTCAATCCTAGGCGAACCAGCTTATCCTTTTATAACAGAGAAAGACATCGATTAGTTACTTCGTCTTCTTTGAACTTCCAAAACTTCACGACCAATCTCGTTCCCATAATGAGAATGTTAAGTAATATTCACCAACAGAAAGTAATTAGATATTTAATTACCTGAGGCGTTGCCGATATCACAGACGCAGGTATTGGTGGGATAGTGGTTGGCTGAGGAGGCTGCTTAGCCAATAACGAAGCTAACATCTTATTCCTCTCCCAGAGCTTGCTGGTGGCATTGGTTGACGTGCCGGAAGAGGATACTTGGTGTGACCCATCCATGGGTCGTTTCGCTGCTATATTCAAGTCACCGTCTTCGCCAGGTCTCTTCTGACCGACCTGAGTGGTGCCACCGAGGCCAACGTTGTCGCTCGATTGAGACGGTGATGGCGTGGTGTTCCGGAATCCAAGACTTCGCAACAGAGAATCCTCTTCCCGAGTTTGTGACTTACACTGTTCGTATTACAACATTCTATTAGCTACGTTGATAAATATTATTGATCTTGATATTTCTTTAAATTACACGCAACGACTGTAAGTATAGCTCGAGCAGGTTAGCTCACGACTACCTACCTGTTGCCCTTGTACTTTCCTCTCGTCATCTTGGTCTTTCAGAAGCTCTTGTAGGAGTTCGTTCCTCTTCTTCAATCCGGCGCGAGCTTCTTCGTCCTCGTCGTCGTTCTTTTCGTTTAATAGCTTCTTGAAAAAAAGGTACATTCAGTAAAATTGCAATCAACAAGTTCCTATATATAATTACATAACAGAACATTGCGATCAACCAATAGTTATCGCCCTTTCTAATCCTTTGACATACAATACTCGACAAGTATATCACAACCGCTATCGATAACTCGTTTGTAATATCTAATACATCAATGACAATATCGAAAGAACAACTACCTGGCAATAAAAATATTGGTTGACCACGTATGTAAAGAAAGCTGAGAAAATAGAAACAAAAAAAAAAGAAAAAAAAGAAAAAAAAAGAATAACGATAATATGAAGCAGATGAAAGCAGAGACCGATTGGCACCAGTCCGATGCCAGTTGGAATTCGATGCCAATGATCAGCTTGTTTACCTGTAACAGCATATTATTTCCAAGCGAAGGTTTCGAATGCTCCATGCTCGGTTTCGGCATGTTGCTAGGACTCGTGTGCACTTTATTATTATGCTCCGGATGAAAATCGTCCTCGTCTTGCTGATTCAACAAGATCTTTAATATCCTATGCTTATTTTGGCTCTCGGAATCGTTATTCGCATTGTCCTGACTGTCCTCACTAGCACTAGTCCCCTTGGTCAACAAGTCTCTCAGTCTACCGGACTCGGTGGACACAACACTGTTCTGAGTTTCGACAACGGCCGCGGAGACTCCTGTTTGGCCAGCCGCGGCTGCGGCTGCTGTTCCAGCGACGGAGCCCGCGTTGTTTCTCGCGTTGCTGCTTTCCATGGTGGATTGGTTGGTGGTCGAGCATCCGGTCTTCCCTTCATCCTGTCTCTTGGGCGTCAATCCGGCTGCTGCTCCGGTGGCACTAACACTACTAGCAGCGCTGTTCGTCAAGGAGGACGTCTGTGATTCCTGAAGCGGACTGAAGGGGAACGAATTACTGAAGGTGTGAGCCGCGTTGCCTGAAGTCGGGCTGAACGCGCGTAGGGGACTGCAGTGAGGCGCCACCGCCGAATTAGAGGAGAACGTTCCCTGGGGACTCGGAGATGTCGGGGCTGGCTGGGAAGATGGTCGTGAGTTTGGTGGCCCGCTCGCTCTCGATTCGGGCCTATCTGCCCACCCGCTGCTACTATCCAAGTCCCACGTGGAACTGGGGAAGAGCTCGAATTCCAAGTCCATGTTCCCCGAAAAGTGGTTGAACGGATTACTGGTACTTAGCGACGGCAGGGGGGTGCAGGACTCGGCCGCGTTAAACACTATCGAGTTTGACAATGTCGCGCCGGAACCGGTGTGCGACGACGTGCCCGCCAACCCCCGACTACTGATACCACTCACTTGACCGTTTAGATGCGCCACGGACATCAGCGGGCCACCCACGTTATTGTTATTGTTACCATTATTATTATTACTATTATTCGCACAACGGTTACTAGAGTGTCCGGAGCACACTTTGTTGTTGGAAAGCTGACCACCCTCGATAGGCGTTAAGTCATTGTCCCTATCATGGACAAGAAACAAAACAACACATGTATTTGCCAGTTACCATAAAAAAACACTTTTTTTTTCTGTTTAGTCTAACACTAAGCATTACTATGTACTATGTAACGGTTTGCGTTGCACGCGGTGAACAGTGCTAGGCAATCTCGTATCCTCGTCGAAGCTACCGAAACGATGCCAATGGGGTTCGATGATCGAACAGACTTTTGTTTCCTCGAGAGAGAGAGAGAGAGAGAGAGAGAAATGCTAACGATGGATAGAAGCTGATAGAAGGATGTACACGCGTTGTTAAACGTTGGTCGAGAAGAGAATTTTTAAGAGACGTTCCTCGTGTCGCGCGCACTGTTTACCGAGAAAACCTTGAGCATCAATCGTACCGCTTTCATACCCTGATGCAAGTCGCACAAGCGTAAGTAAGATTTTGCCGCGTTCTACGATGATCACCGTAAATCTTACTTCCGCTGAGCAGCACTTACAACCTGAACGTCAGGTGAGCGCAAAACGCTTTAGCAACTTCAATCTCAACTTCATTTCTCGTTTTCAGGCTATTTTTCCAGGCTACTGTTCCATCGAATTATTTTGCAATCAAAAATAAATATATGTTTCAAAAAAATGGGGAAAAAAGGGAGACGGAGAGTGGTATTTCGTTATTTCTCGTTGATAATTTCAGAGGGATTTTCTCAGGTCGAGAAATCAGAAGTGCAATTAATCACGAGTGCCTTGCAATCACCGTTTGCCTCGTAGATGTTAAACATCGCGAAATTCGTAAATCGAGAATGAAAATGGCAAGGTTCACGTGAGAAGTTGTTTTAAACTTTCGACCTGAACAACAGCTGCAGCAATAAACGCTGTAACAGTTTCACCTGCAACCTTTGCCATTCCCGGTTCGACGACAACGTATGAAAAGTGTGATCGTGTGGAAACAAACATTGAAAAGAGCCGTGTGGTGAGATAACGATTAAAATCAGCGCGCGTGTGTGTGTACGTGTGTGTGTGTGTGTGTGTGTGTGATACATAGTAATTATTAGCAGACGAAGTGTTAGAAAGCGATATATAAAAGCGATAAACGAGATCGTAATCGTAAAACGTCACATTGTGGGGATATATTGTTTCAATTTCAAGAGTGGCCAGATCTCCAACACCGAGAGGAAAACCCGTGTGTCGCGGTACATGCAAAGACTTTCTAGAAACCTAAAAAAAAAAAACATCACGGAAAAGCCTATGCAAAACTTTTGAAAAAAAAAAAAAAAATCGCTACAACCAAATTTCGTGTCGCTTTTCTCTCTTTCCTTTTTCTGGGATTAAAACGTACTACCAAATTCGGTGTTATGTTTGCCTTTCGTCTTTTTTTCTCTTTTTTTTCTGTTTCTCTGTCTTCGAATTAGTCCGAGAATGTTACTGAAGCAATAGCGATAAGATAAACACGGTAAAATTAGGCAAATAGAATAAATTAGCGGAAACCTAACGCAGCGGGAAGTTCATAGGTAGAATATGTGGTGTAGATATAGTCACCCTTGCCTATGTGTTCCAATAGAACAGTAATAAAGCGATATGAAGGAGTAGTACGTTAACTTAATTATCCAGTAGAACGTCGATTACCGAAGAGCTTTAACGACTCCAATTACAGAACAATTAAGCGGAGGATCGAATACTGGAAAGTGCACTAATCGTCTAATTATTCGCTACTTTTTTTCTCATTCAACTACCGAGTTATCGATGATCTCGGAATTATCGTAATAATCGATATTCTACTGGTTCATCCCTGGTATCTTCGCGTAATGTTAATAATTGTACGACTATACTTAATTAACGTCGACACATTGAGTACCATAGATAGCAAGATTCAAGAATACGTGGAAGCTCTTTAAAGCCAAGTATAATAACAAGACTCTATATATCTTCGTATTTTGATAGTCAATGTATTAAGATATTCAACCCCAGATTAATCACGGCTTAAGATTCTCGTTAAATAGAAGATCAGTGATAAATCATACTTGGGAAGGGAATCTCAAATTGGATTTTTCAATAACCTTCAGAGCCATGAACATTTATCAAGGTAATTATTAATCCGAGGGTGAATCAGTCTTCTCGAAGATGCACGTATGTTTGTACTTTATGGTTAAAATATGTAGAAGGAAAGTATAAAACCATTGAACTTACCCAATGATGGTATTGGTGGCCATAATGAAGTCGGTAACAAGTGTATTCATCACATTTGCTTTGAAAAGCTTTGACTTTGTTTGAATGTTAAGGAACTTATCAGGACTAACGCGTAGTCGGTACACACCACTGGTACTCTCTCCGACTTGAAGCGTATCGTTCAAATGTGCAGTTAGCTTACTGAGATCATGAGGGTGGCACAAGTCCTTTATCGTAGTGCCAATCAGCTCCTGCAATCGGATATTCCAAATAATTATACCGAATTAAAATTGACAGCCTCGCGAGAAGAAACTTAAGAACTTAACTTAACTTAAATCTAGCTGAAAATTAGCCTTTTCTGCGGACACGACGAATTGGACGAGGAATGAAACGAAAAGGAAAAGAAAAAGGAAAACGTACCCGGTTACCAAACCCATCCTCTTTCGAGGACTTGACCGTTGTAATTAAAGATTCGTCCCTTTATAAAGTTAAATAACACCCAACGATGCCTAGCATCTAAGAAAAATAGCCAATTCCAAATAAAGATTGATAAGGAATGTTGCGGGTCACGCTTACCTTGCTTAGGTACTCGGAGTAAGGAGGCGACAACCAGATAACATCAACCGCGATAATCTTCCCCGTGGTGTCCAACTTGACAGTGAACTGCTCGATGGGCGGACCAATGGACTTCTCGTTCGGGGGTATCCTGCGAGCCACGCACATTACGCAAGGACTGTTGTCCGAAGATTCAGAGGATACGTCACCGCTCTCCAGACGATCGCTATTATTTGGCAAAAGAGCTGAACAGATTTGCATAGACTCGTATTTCGATACTCGTTGCTGCTTCTCTTCCATAGTCTCTTCTTTATCATCGGGAGGCTTCACCAAGAAGCGGCAATTGAAGGTACGGTTCCTTTGGGGCTGCTGCTCGTTCGTCCAGCCTGAATTATACGTAAAATTCGTTACTCTTAGACACTGCGGGTCGAATAATTTATTACGAATTAGGTGTACATTGGCAAAAGTGACGAAGCATCGAGTACTTAAGTACTAGTGAATATATCGGACATTTTTGTGAATAAAACAGGTGAACAGTTGGAGCGAAGTAACGAATGTTTCAAGATGCCGTGTTAAAAATAATTCTGACCTAGAATCTGATCGTTTTTGTATGCAAATGAGAAGCTTCGTGGGAAAGAGAAAATCGAGTTGCGTTCGTTTAATTAAAGAAACTTTTTCACTCGCCACTAAGCTTGCGGAGGATGCAGCGTCGTAAAGAGAATCGTGAAAGAAAAATTTGAAATAATTAAGCGGATCGACCGCGGTCTTCCCCCGTATACTTTTCCCAATTAATTAAATATAAAAGCGATCGATCGAGGTACACGATGGAGATTTTTCCAAGCAGCCACGCCTCACGCTGAATCGATACGTTTCAACAGAGAATACCAAAAGAACGAAATTCGTTCGACGTAAAAACGATGAAAAATTCGTGAACCGACGTAAAGGCAGAGAAGAAAATTTCACGTGTCCTAACAGCTAAGAGGAAAAGGCTGACCTGTCGAAGTGCAACGCGCTCCGCCGATGGCATCGCATTTCTGCTGCGCTACAGAATTTCAAAGCTGTCTCCTTCCATTACACAAGATAAATCTTTCCGTTGCGACCACTACCGAAGTTCCATAACAAAGCGAGATAAACTGAAAAGTACACGTGCACGCCGCCCGGTAAATAGATGCTAAAGTTACATTATCATAACTACCCCCGACGCATACGAAACGCACTCATAAATAATCGTTTTATCGTGTGCTCGCGAGGACGAAAGACGTTCCACTCCAAAGGAGATTTAATCTCCATACATCTTCCACTCTTCGTTTAAGGAGAAAAAGAAAAAAGGAGGAAGAAAAAAGCACGCGAGAGAAAGAAAGAAAGAAAGAAAGAAAGAAAGAAAGAAAGAGAGAAAGAGGGGAGAGAAAAATGAGAAAAGGGAGGAAAAAAGTTAGCGTGGAAGGTAAAACGGTGATGTTCAAGATGAAAGAGAGTGAGACTGTATTCGGAAGGTATACGAACCTAATGGCATAGGCAACAAGCTCGGCATGAAGGTGTTGTGGTCTCCATGATGAATAATATTATAAATATCCTTGCCGAGCACATCGTCCTTCGTGTAATTTATGTACTGCGTTATGTTATCTGTTACGTACTCCACTCGTCCCTCCGTATTTACAACAAATAGAAAGCCATCTAGCGCCTGGGCAAAAATTTCGAGTCAAGTTAGATTCTAGCAGCACGTTCGTGCTGAATGTTAATGATGGTCTACAACGACCAGGCAAGAAATATAATATTGATTAGACGAAAGGTTTTATGTGAAGGCTCGGTAATTTATCTGGGTGTTAAATCACGTTTTATTTTCCTCTTCCTATGATACCCGATATTAAAAAGTTTAAGGGTACGCGGCTGAAGAACTCGTCTACTTCGTATTTAATTAGCGGTACGTTTATTCTGTTACGCAAATTCACGTCACTCTGTGATATTTCTGCGATTCGACTTTCGACTTTAAGACGTTTACGGGATCGTTCGTTTGATCGAGATCTATTTTCTTGTAAATAATTCACGAGAGAAATTGTTAGGCGGACCGTAGGCGACTCGATTATAGGCAAGAAATGTGGCCGAAAAGAATTTAATGCGTCGCGTCTAGTTGAAAAGGAAAAAAGAATTGTATAAATTTCGCTTAAATAATGACCCGTCCAAACTTCAGTTCGATTAAGTTTAACAAAGTACCTTGATGAACTAGACCTTCACCTATGTTCTCGTAAGTAGTCGGTAAACAGGAACAAAAACGAGCCGAGTGCTTCAAGCGTTCATATATCAATGAACGAAAGCAACAAGAATAGAATAGATTGATGGAATTCGATTTAAATTGAATTGTACCTCGAGTAAAACAGGACCAACTTGATCGTTGGACAGTATGTTAGGATTCGAAGAAGACACTTCCCCCTGTTGTACGGCATGACTATTCGAGCCTTCCTGTTGCCTAATGTGCCGAATCTGTAAAAAATTAAGTAATTTCAACCGTTAATAACATTGAAATTACGAAATGAATAAATTGCAACAGCACATTTATGCGTTTTGAAATTTTCTACATCGAGCAAAATATATTGCCGTAGAAAGAAGCGTAAAATAAAGGAATTTTAAACAATGCAAATATTTATTTATGCCAAATTTAATTACATTTAATTACATTAAGAACAGTGAATTGCTCGGTCTCTTGAATGAAAATACCAGAGTAATTAAAAGCAATATTAAAGTACATAATACGAAGACAAACGTAAATTAAAAAAGCATTCGCTTTCTCGTCTCTTCGCTAACGTTATTTCGCGTTATAAAACAAGGAGAGTTAACGGAATAAAGAGATAAAATTCTAATTCGTTTTAATAAAACAGTAAACTCCGCAGCAACGTTACAGTTTCACGTGTCAAGATAACGCAACAGCACAATGCTGATTTTGCGTTACATACATAGTTTGCATTTCTATGCTGGTTAAAACAAAACTGCATTCTTTTATACCTACTCATAATACGTGAAAAAAAAATTCTTCCAGAGCGACGATAAATAGCTGAACCTTTCATAAAATTCATAAAATTCATAAAATCCTCGCAACGAGAGCCATTTCTGTCCTATATTATAAAACTCTTTGATCTTCAACTAGAAAATAAGAAAATAAAACATAACTCAAGTAAATGTTCCTGTCCGTTCCCTAATTACCTGCGGTTATATTAAACATTCCTCGTTACATTACTTACGTAATAAGTAGGGTTTATTTTTGAAATTTTAAATACGTAAAATTGCATTAATCACGAAACCGAAATGACATTACCATATTACAAAAAAACTAACAATTAGTCACTTATCTTTATCGGTAGTTGAAATGAAAAGATAACGAAATAACACGGTTATTTGAAATTGCTGTTACTACAAATAAAGCGATATATCGTATCGTTCCAAATAACGCTTATATCGCAAATGACAAATCGAAACGCAGTTCCAAATCGTTAGTTTTCACTTCAATTTCGGACAAAATTTACATAGTAATAAAGTTTCGTATTACGTTTTTACATCTTGTCACGAAACTATTGCTTTCTTAGCACGCGTGATAATAAATAAGAAAATATTCCTCCATCGGTTATTTTTTCCGTTCTAGATACAAGAATCCAGCAATAATCTAATAACATCGTGGTAAACACGAGTTTTTATCAAGTCGTTAAATAATAACGCAAAACCACATAATTTCGTTGGTTCACAGCAAACCGCATTACATACTGAATTTCGCATTACACACACTATGGCGCATACGTATTGTATTTAATGTAATGAATAATTTACAACGACCGCATTTTTTTCGCTGATTGTATTAATATTGAAAATTATTCTTTCTTTGTACTGCAACGAACGCAAATGTAACATTGCGCAAGACATTCAGATAACGACGCCATGACACTATCCAAAACAATGAACGCAACTTCCTGTAAAGAAATATTAGACGCTATAAAAGAGAAAAATAATATCAGCCGTCTTAAATATTTTCATGTTATATCTTTTAAAAACTTCGAATAACATATTATTATTTTAGAAAGGAATTTAGGAAAATGAAAGAAAATCAAATATTCGCTGTAAAATAACGCGAGGATTATTTTATAATTTCTCGAAAAATGCAATAACTTTAATTTTAATTTAACGCACGGAGTAATTAATTTTTTATTTAGTTTCCGACATGGATCAATTAATTCCAACAGATTAAATACGAGTATGGAAAATTGTGACTGATAAAAACGTAGAAATTAAAGTCGCAGAATAAATAATAAATTCTGCGATGTATTTTAATTTTATGCTTCCGTCGCGAATGAAATTTTTTATATTTATTCCGTAATATCGTGAAATGGTAAAATATGAAAAATAATCCGACAGGATAAAAGAAAAAGAGAAAATGGTAATGCGACAAGAATGAATACTCTCGGTCGAAAAAATGTAATGTAGTAATAAAAAGTTGAAAAACTTTTTTTAATTAACCAAACGTATTGAGTAATATTTTCAATAGAAAGTTTTTCGACTGCACACAAATTTCCGAGCGATTCGTACAAAAGTTCTTAATTCCGGCACGATTATCGACATCACGCTAGCAAATATTTAAACTGATAATCCATATTCCTCCTCCTTATGCGATAATTAAATACAACAAACTGTTGTATCTGTCCTATCTGTCAGAAGTTTCAAACAATTACTCACCCACCTTTTTGTTACAATAACAAAGCACGAACATAATCACGTATGTCCTTCCAGACAATTATTCAGAGGTTAACGCGACGCTTCTTTGCTTAATTCGAATCTCTCGTTTTAAGTGAAATTTTTCGTCGCAAGATCCAAAATATTAATTTACCATTGCGATAAATCATTAAGTTGAATTTTATTTCTTATATTTTACTTTTGATAATAGTCGAGCAAAATATACGAATAAAACTAAAAATAACTGAGAATATTAACGAGCAAAGAGAAATAGCTAAGAAGATAACTGAATAAAGAGCTTTATCCATTGTTTTTAAGCAGATAACTGGAAAATAAACTTGTTCCGAAAGAATCATGCTATTATTCTTTATAGCAGTTAATAAACTTGAAATTACATCTACTTCCAAGAATATGAAAAAAATTAACGAACGGAATCTTTTACGAACAATTTCCGTCTTTTATACTGTATTAAAATACAATAAAAGACCTTGAACATCGACACCTAATTTTCCTAATTTTTAAATATATGTAATATAAAAATCAACGTTTATTAACATTTGAATAAGATGTACTGTTACTGTCAAAGAGACCAACGGATGAATTAGAAATATTTCATCACTTTCTCCTATAAACTAGAAAATTAATAATAACCTTTTTTGATATACATCTTTCGATTCAAAAATAGAGAAAATTAAAGTATATACGAAATCGATAAAAAAAAAAAAAAAAAAAAAAAAAAGGAAAAGAAAAAAAAAGAATCGTTCAATAATAAATCTCACAACGGTGTACAAATACAGTTAACGGTTAAAAAAGAAAAAGCGTGAAGTCCGCAACGCTGCCATTCAGAGTCGCAAGGTTAGTCGTAAGTGGAACACGAACCGAGAAGGGAAAGTAAATCTCTGCGTTACCGGCCGGGTTTCGGACACAAGCGTGCGGGAAAAGCTCGTCCTTGAGCTCATATTTCCCAGCACCGATAGATCGCGCTCGTAATCGGAATGAATTTAAGCACACGGGCACACAACGTGCCGTGGCCTCGAAAAGTCGGTGACTCGGCGGCTGAGTCCGACAAACGGTTTGCGACGTTGCCGCTAGCCTCCGCTTTAAAGCGTATATATTTCTCCCGTTCCATCACACGTCGCACGCGATAAATTCTTCCTCGGTCGCTTTCAGAATCATCATCGATGTTCCTCTCTAATCAAGAACATCATCGAACAGAGTAGGAAATAGGTGAAAAATGTAAATGAAGCCCGAAAGCGAAAACTGGGAAATCGTTGAGATGGGAACGTATCAACGTCTTCATCGTGTCCACGTTAACGAACATAAATTAGAGGTACACTTTCAACGATATATCGATAAAATTATCATTAACGCGACGATGGAAAACCCAAGGGGAGAAAGACTTTTATTGCAAATTTACAATTGATTCTACCTCGGTCACGTCGTTGGACACAGGATGCGCGTGGCTCTACTGCGCAGATGACGTCACACGAACTCTTGCTCCGGTAGCTCGGGTTATAACGCCGTTTGGAAGGTTTCCTATTGGCCTCGGTGACGTCATTCAAGGTCACGTGACAAACTCTCAAGAAGTACTTTTTTAACGATTCTTCGTGTATCTATGGAATTCATTTGCTAGGGTAACCCGCCGAGCACGTTACGGACAGAGTTTGCGTTCATCGAGGGTCGTGAATTTGCTTTCTAAAACGTAACCGCAATATGTCTGGCACGAGAAGAAGACGAACGAAATATCGGCGACCATGGCGCGAAGAATCGACATGTGCTCGTTCATGAACAGCAGAACTAACATGCAGAAGAACAGACGGGAAGTTCGAACCCCTTCCATACCTGCTCTCCTTCTCTTTCTATGGTTCTACAAGTACATAGACACGCTACTTGCAATTTAGACGGTATGGCTCGGACCATTATCGTTTTGTGTATTTTCAGCGAATCCAATATACACTTGGCTACTTTGTGACCCTCTCGCCACAAGATAACACGGTTTGTTCAAAATGTTTTCATTCGCTCCCACGCTAGTAAACTTCGTAGTACAGCACGTACAGCGTATGAATGACGCGACTATTCTGATATGCTTCTAATATACCGTTAAAAGACGAATCAACGTACGTCACAGCAAAAAACTAACGAAAAATCGATTTTTACAGCGATGGAAAAATTGCCAAACGAAGAAATGGTAACGCGAAGAGCACCGATAACCTCCAAACACTACTCTCGTTTGCGACGAAATCGATTAAAAGTTAAACTCAGCAACGCGAATCTATTTCAAGCTGCTAATCGAGCCTAGAAACGAGCAGCGTGTTACCGAACGAGGCGAGTGCACGTCTTGCTTCCGAAACAAACGATGCTACCAACATCGAGGAATGTAAAGCATTACCGCGCGTAACCGCGACCTGGAAACACACAGAGAGGCTGGAACGCGAATATCGATTAAGAATACCATAATGGCCGCCGGCAGCGTGGCTAAAAATTCTCTCAAATTTCTCGATTTCGCGATGAATTTTTTGATAAAACGTGGTTCACCGACTGGTAGAGTGGAAATGGGAGGGAGGAAATGGCATAGCGTCATTTCGCACGGTTCGATGGCTAGTTTCCGCAGCTCGCGAGACTGCTGCGCTCAGCTGTTCCTCTCGTCTTCGCGTGTTCCGACGTCTAGCGCGAATTTATGCGCGCAGCGCCATCCTCGTCGGCGGAGCGCGGCGGAACAAAGAGAGAAAACGTATCGTTGCCCCGTCGTCGTAAATAGTGACGAGTGC